ACTGAGTCGCAGTGAGTAGTGACCCATGATCTGTGTAGATCACGAACGATTTGGCCCAGGAGGAGCACCCTGAACTTGGCCAGTGCATACTTCATCGCAAGTAATTTCTTGACATGGATTGAGTAATTCCTCTCCACAGTCAAAAGCTGGCGCGATTCGAACTCGATCACCCGACCTCGTCCATCGGCGTCTGCTTGCAGCAAATAGCCGAGGGTCTAAGACCGAACGTGGATACAAGCGCAGGAGAGCCGCCCTGTGAGCATCCTCCACTTTCTGCTTCTGTGCCTCGTCGAGGCAATTGGTAATACTACCACTTCCCCCTGAAACCGAGAGGTCGGGGAACGGACACGGTGTCCGCAATGTTTAAACAGGACTCACGTCGTACCGTTGGCGCACTTCATCCTCCTCGTCATCCCATACTTGGAAAAGAGTATCCGTAGAAAAATAAAGCAATGTCAGGAGTGCAGTAAGAAAGAAGATCGTGAAAGAGGGTTCAGTGTACACTTTTTTAAAGACCCGGAAACGCTTGCGTGGTCGATCTAATGACCGCCGAAGCATTGAACACGCTGAAACAATCATGGAGATGATGGTTCTTCTGACGATATATACCCAATTGTATTGGTAGCGACTCTCTAAGTGAGTTTCTAGCGCTTCAGAAGATGCACCTAGCGATATTATCGATTCTGAAGACGTTCTACAACAACCATCCTCAGAAGTTGCGTGCAGTGGGTGGAGGCTTAAAATTACATGCAGGATAAGAATGATTTGGGGAACGACGGAGTTGAGGAAAAATTACTTATTTCTGGAATTTTTCGTGCAACCTGGCCAGTAGAGAATGGCCTCGCGGTTCTCATCGTTATGGCATGCGTGGCAATAAGCAAGCACTCAGTGATTTAGTTGTATCTGCCAATAAGAAAGATTCTAAATAATTAAACAAATATTTTTTTTTTAATTTTTATGAGCTATGTACTCCAAAATTTAATCAAAAATGCGCTAAATTTGTATAGTTTTTAGTATAAAATTATTACATATTCAAACAATAAGTTGTCGAAAATGAGTAGTGCAACATTCGTCAAACTATCAACTCCAGCATATAAAAATAAATTGAAAGTAATTATAAACCAAACATCGACGCTTATTGCCTGCCATCACTCCCAGCTTGTGTCGACACGTACACTTTCTGGAATTGCAATGATGATTTTCATTGATGCAGCATCGGTAGCGTCTACATCTCGACGACAAGTCCAGCCATTTGAGCCTTGCTTTTGATGCAACGATTCAAGCAACATTAACAGCTTTGGTGGTGCTTCTTGGTGCTCAGCAATATCGAGAATTGCTCCATAACCAATAGCACTTGCATCTACCATTTCGTGAGCTTCTGAGTTGCTAAATGAGGGGACAGTAGCGGTTGAAGGGGGAGTCATTTGACTATTGTTGGTATTATTGGACCAAGTCGAGTATCGTGATGGGGCTGGAGCTGGAGTTGAACTCCAAGGTGACGATGTTACAGTTGCCACTTTGCCACTATTGCCACTATTGGCACTATTGCCACTTGCGAAAAGCGAAGTGATGGTCGATTTAGCACTTCGAGGCTGCACAAGTGCCTCCATTTTCTGCCAATCACGTACAAGTGCACATGTGACAAGAGCCAAAAAAAGAAATCGTTTTGACTCAATTTGAAATTGTTGCCGAAGTAATTCGGGTTGACACAAACTGTGGCGGGTATGTGACTTTGCGGCATCTCCATGATAGAGCATTGAGTACCGTAAAAATTCACTGACTGTCATGCGATGCACACACTTGCGAGGAAATGCAAGCCATTGTGGGTCAAGTGCTAGACGCTTAACGTTGGCAGTAATCGCAGCTATCCATTGTCGCTGCATTTCAGGTGAAAACGCATCTAGAATCAGCTCTTCGTTTCCAGCAGCGTCAGAGATTTTGACACAAAAAGGGCGTAGGGAAAATTTACCACGGTAATCGAGAGGTTCAATTCGCATCCCTTTTGCAAGTGCAAGTTTGCCTTTTTGGTTACTTTTGCCGCTTTTGTCGTGAAACGGGTTCTTTGATTTGTCATGTTTGCCCATTTCGTGTTTGAAATAGACTATTTCTCTCTCACGTAATTGGACGTACCGCATCCTCCAATTGGCTTGTAAATTACCGACTCCTCGTGCTCGTTTGTCCAATTTTGCTGCCATCGTACAAATTTCGGGTGCAATATTTGCATCTTCGTTCTCTGTTTGAATTTGTAGCTTCGAGAGCGTCACGTACTCGTGAACTAAGTCAAGAATCCACACGGGAAGTCGATGACGATAGAATTTGGCAATATCAAGGACATCGTCTGTCACTCGAAGTGATCGAATGAGCTCTCGATCATGAAAGACTAAAGAGAGTAGCATGGCTGCAAGTTCACGGTATCTTTGTGTTGCTGCATAAAGTTCCAAAAGTCCACGTAATGCACTTAACGAAACTGTCTCGTGTGTGACCATACACTGCTCGACTAAATAGTGAACCCATTGTCCAAGTGATAAAGGCAGCGCTGCTAATTGTTTACGGAACAAAACTGGCGTCATTGTCTCGGACACAAAAAGTAGCACGTCTAGAATCACAGCCGAGCACCCTGTGGCCTCAGCAGCGTTCATAAGCGCACACTTATCATCGAATGAACGTAATGGGAGACGATAAAGGTCACGAAAATCACGCACTGCATCATCAGGCAAATCTGTACTGTTTACTAGTCCCAAATGTACGCGTAAGAGCTGTGCTACAGCATCTTCGGCCATCATTTTAAAATTTGAGATATTCTATTAAGTTCGCTTGTTACAAGTGTCAATTGAAGTAACTTTTAAGTTCCGATCCGCAATGCCTGGAGGTAAGGACTCCAAAGCGCTGGCGACGGCCATGCGTCTGACCTTAAATCTTCCAACTACACGCTTTCCAATGCGAGCTAATGCAGCTGTTCGTGAGCCACAGCTGCATGCACGTTGTGTGACTGCAGCCTACAGAGAACAAGCGGCAGATTCGACCCGACCGCTATTTGTTTTGCACGACGGTCCTCCGTTTGCCAATGGCAGTCTACACATGGGTCATTTCTTAAATAAAACATTAAAGGATATTATTAATCGGTATCAAGTACTACGTGGTCGACGTGTGGTGTATGTACCTGGTTGGGACTGCCACGGCTTGCCAATTGAGCACAAAGCATTGACACTTTTGCAGCTTGAGGCCAATGATCTTACACCTGTACAAATACGTGCATTGTCCCGTCAACTTGCTCGTCAAGCTGTGCAGGAGCAGCAAAAGGACTTTGAACGCTGGGGTGTGCTTGCTGATTGGTCTGGTGATCCAGACAGCATATACTTGACCATGAATCCTAGCTACGAGGCCAAGCAGTATGATGTGCTGAAGAAAATGGTGGTCGATAAACTCATTTTTCGTGGCTTTAAGCCTGTTTACTGGTCTCCAAGCTCTCGAACGGCATTGGCGGAAGCTGAGCTTGAATACCAGGACGATCATGTATCTAAAGCGGCTTACATTCAGTTTCCCTTTGCATCAATTGGAAAAAATACAGACGAAGAGACGGCAAAAGTGCTGAGCAAGTATCAAGACACACTCTCGGCTGTGGTGTGGACAACAACACCCTGGACCATTCCGTCTAATCAGGCACTGTGTGTCAATGCGGATCTAAAGTACGTGATTGTACGACCTTGCCACGTAAACTCGGATGCATGTTATTTGATAGCAAGCGAACTGCTACAAAGTTTTGCCCTGATGATAAAAAGTGACGTGCATGAACAAGTGGAACTTAATGTGCTTGAGACTTTGAATGGAGCTGATCTTGCAGGCGTACTATTTACACATCCGCTGACATACCGTCAAGCGGTTGTGCTTTTGGGTGAACACGTGACAACGGATGCTGGTACTGGCATTGTACATACAGCTCCGGGACACGGTCAAGATGATTATCGCGTCTGGATGGCGCATCACTCGAAAGATGGTGAGCATCCAAACATACTTTGTCCTGTGGATGCTGCTGGTTGCTTTACAGCTGAAGCTGGACAGGATCTTGAGGGTCTGTGCGTCCTTGATGAGGGTAACAATGCCGTTATTGAGCTTTTGAAAAAAACTGGCAACCTGCTTGCAATAAATAACCACCACCATCGATATCCATACGATTGGCGCACAAAGAAACCAGTGATTTTGCGTGCAACAGCTCAGTGGTTCGCTCGTCTTGATGCGCTTCATGCGCGTGGAACACATGTATTAATAGATTCTGTAAAGATGGTGCCGTCCAGTGCGCGTCGCCGTCTAGAAGCAACACTGTCGAGTCGCAACGAATGGTGTATTTCTCGTCAGCGAGCGTGGGGTCTGCCGATTCCAGTATTTTATGATAAAGTCACGGGCGAACCGATGATTACTACAGAGAGCATTGAACATTTACAAAGTATTGTGAAGACCTACCGTGTTAAAGATGTTAGTGGCGTCGTCGAACGGGAAGGAGCGGACTGCTGGTGGGATTTATCGGTACACGAATTGCTACCTCCTTCATTGCAACATCAAGCGGACAGGTATGAGAAGGGCACAGATACGCTGGATGTGTGGTTTGATAGTGGTACTAGCTGGCACGCTGTACTGACAAACATTCTCAGACCAGAGAAACACGAGCAAATTCGCGCTGATGTGTATCTTGAAGGCTCGGACCAACACCGCGGGTGGTTCCAGTCGTCGCTACTTACATCGCTTGCTATGCAAGACACGGCACCTTACAAGACTGTCATTACTCACGGTTTTACACTGGATGAAAGAGGCAGTAAAATGTCAAAATCTCTTGGTAATACAATTGTCCCGAACGACTTCATCAATGGTTGCGAGATGTCGGTACCTGTAGCTGACAAGGGCAAAAGGAACAAGTCAAAAAAAATCCAAAACAAATCGGAACAGATTGTGAACGTCAAACAGATAAAGGTGCCGGCATATGGCGCTGATGTCCTTCGTTTTTGGGTTGCAACGACCGATTATACAAGTGACGTTAGCATTGGTCCAGGTGTTGTAAGCAAGGCCAGTGATGCTTTACGCAAAGTGCGCAACACGGCGCGTTTCTTACTCGGGAATCTGTATGACTTTGATCCGTCGCAGCACGCTATTTCCTATGACAAAATGGACTTATCTCTAGATCGCTATATGCTTCACGAGCTCAATTCATTAGCAGCATCGGTGACGGTAGCGTACGACTCCTATGCTTTTAACCGAGCTCAACACGCTCTTTCACACTTTATATCCACCGATCTCTCGGCATTTTACATGGAAGCCACAAAGGACCGATTATACTGCGATGCAGCCGACGCAAAAACTCGCCGTTCCGCCCAGACAATACTCTGGCTGTCACTGCAAGCGTTGACTCGAGCGCTAGCTCCTGTTGCACCGCATACGGCGGAAGACATTCGACTTTATTGGCAGTCACAGCTCCACGGCGACATTCCGCTCGAAAACGTATGTGGTAGTATCTTTCTTGAGCATGGATGGATGCCCAGCGCTACCGAGTGGAAGAACGACGGCTTGGCTCGTGACTGGACTGCGATTCGTCAGCTTCGCTTTGAGGTGAATCGAGTGGTGGAGCAAATGCGTCAATCAGGTCGCGTCGGTAGTCAGCTCGAGTGTAACGTTTACGTGGTGGATCCACAGTCCGATTCCCGGGTTACTGAGCTCCTATCGTCATTAATAAGGAGCTCGTCGGAGCTCGCAGATGTATTTTTGTGCTCTGGTGTGGACATAGTGACTTCTGAGGTGGCAATTGAAAACACAGAGCAATTTAAGGCGAAGTGTCGATTGGATATGGGCCCAACTGACCCTCCCATGGATGTCGAATTTGTAGTAACTCCCGCTAGAGGTCACAAGTGTCCACGATGCTGGAAATACGCGCTGGAAGTGGATGTTGGTGAGACGCAATTGTGCTTTCGTTGTGCTCAGGCCACTGATCGACGTAGCGTCACGGAGCTGATGAAAGAGTTGATCGAGTAGAATGCATGTATATATATATCTTAATAGAGCCTAGTTCGCAAAAAACATTCATGCGTTGGCTATGATCATACACGATAAGAGTGAAGAATTTAGCATTAGATTACAAGCATGCAATGATGTGATATAAATCGCGTACGCGTTACCAATTCTTCGAAGCGGCTGTGACGACATCAAAACATTCTATTCGTTTAAGCATCACACGGCACTAATGTCATGCATCAGCAACTACCACAAAATTTGATAGTCTGCGTACTTCTGTCATTCATTGCAAGCTTCCATCCTATCGACTCAAAGGTACATGACGTCTGATAAACCACGCACACTTGACCAAAACAATAAACTCTATTAATCATTGAAAGTACTTTACTCGAGACGGAACAATCCACGGCAAACAGTCATGGCTCCTCTCGAGTGAGACGGACATCAATTCGTCATCACTTATCGTAGCTCTTAGCTCGAAAAAATTTCTGTGCAGAACTATCGCTATAATAGACACTCGAACCACTTTAAAGGCATCTTTGCCTGATTCCAAAAGGCATCTTCACTATGAAATTGCATGTCATAGTGATTTAACTCTGTACGATAAAATCGGCTTTTGTACGTGTCACGAAAGTCTGACACGTTTAAGCCTTTCGCACAGCTATGAAATTCTACTGTACCATCATTTTTGCTTGTTTTATGCGGAACGAGCTCGCCAAGAACCCAAAACTTTGCTTGATATGATGACATTATTCCAGAGTAACTCTCGCTGCACATGACTGCAAACACATTTGATCGATAGACCTCCTGCGCAGCCGCGTATTCTGCATTGAGCTTTTCCGTGCTGTAAGACCCATTTTGGTACGCCAACGACTTTATCGCTTCATTTACTGGACATTGATCATTGTAATCGGCAAGTTTTTCCGTTAATAAACCCGTATCCTCAGTGCAAACTTTTTGAGCAAAGTCGGAGGCCATGCTTCCCATCATAGGTGCAGCTGTACTCACCCACGTTGAGCTTGGATCTAACTCACATCTTTTGTGTGCAATAGCGCCAGCAAAAATTAGGCTTCCCATGGAGTGCGTGACAACGATAGTATCTTTGATTGTGAAATCAGTGCTACTATTGCTCACTGCGAGAGCGCGGTCGCACACTTTTTGCTGCTGTGTCGCGTTAGTCCACGTATAGTTCACGGTATTTAAATGTGCATACTTGATCGAAGTACAACATGGTGCGTGATGTGCGATAGAATTTCCCCAGTATTTCATCGAGTCCAGAAGACCTGGAGCTTCAAACTTCACTCCGAGGCCATGCACAAAGATACATGGACGAGGTGTCGACTTACAAGTACACGACTCATTGTCACTGTCGAGTAATGAGAAAGATAATGTGTCTTTCAAATCTCGCATCTCTTGAGGAGGTAGTAGCGTTCCTGTGAGGAGAAGTCGACCAATGAACGAGATCAAGCTTGGCATAACTTCAGTGTCACAATCATGATCACTTGTTGGGGTCACAATATTCACTTGATTCTCTTGAAAAGTAACGAGAATGTCTAAATCATGTCCATACATTATGAAACCGTGATTGTTTGACACACATAAAGCAAAATGAATAGAATCAACCGTCACTTTAAACAACCTGCCATTGCTGCACCTTGAGAAGTTAATCGATAGAGGTTTAGCGATATTTATGGCCGCAATGATTGCGTTAATTGGTGGGAAATCGTTAAATTCAGATTGTAAACATTGCGTCGATGTTGTCTTGGAGTTTACTTTTGTCGTTGTAAGATACATAGCGCCATTCACTTGTGTGTAATTGTAATGTAATTTATTGGTACGAAACGTAGCAAAAACGTCGTAAAGAACACGAGTTTCCTCATCCATAATGACTGGATTGGCGATAACAGAGAAATTTGTTTGTCCATAAATTCCCATGTCGCTACGCTTGACATGAAATTCAAAGAGCAGTGATGGCCAATTTGCACTATTGCCAAGAATTCGATGTTGTTGAAAGTAGTCATTTTGTACGATAGCTTGTGATAATGTAGCGAGCACCATGAGCGCCGTAACAACGCCCGACAAAGACAGAGGCATTGCGCGGTAGTTCCATATGCTCATCTTGAGAAAAATTAACTAACGGACTCGCTTCCAGCATGTTTTACGACACGAATTACATCCAGAATTTATCTAAATGCAAGGTCTTTTCGTCACATTGTACAATAATCATTTTGAAAACTTATTCATAAGATTGCCTTCCCTGCTGAATAAAATAAACAATTTGGATATCAATTTGTACAGAATATGAGTGCGAAAAATCACAAAAAGTAAACATGACCACCAACTCGTGTTAACTCATATTGCAAGTGCGGTATTCCTCTGCAGATCTTTGACGTATTACATGTTTCATATCTACTGATAAGGCAGCTGGCGGGAACACGGAGGTACAATCCAGGTAGAGAAATCTGATAAGAGATATCACTTTAATTATATCGCTGCTATCCATCTGATGATCGTTTGAATAAAGATGCAAAGATTGCGGATCGGCTAACAAAAATCAAAGTTATAAGCAGTCATCAAATTTATGTGTTGGAAGAGCCAACTAATAATGTCTAGAGGTCACAAACAGCCTTCACAATTTTATTAACAATATATTCGTGATCTCCATATTGCCATTTTGCAGCGTAAATTCAAAGGCTTCTGACTCACTCAGCGAAAAATCCGAGAGATGCAGTTGAAGGACTTGACGAAAAATCTAAAAGCTTTCCGGATTACTTATCGATAAGATAAAAAGTACTTACAAACTGCATCACCAGTGTCGGATGATACAACTGATGTCGCAATTCCTCGGAGACCATTAATTTTTACTATGGTTGGAGTGCAGTTTTAATGTTGACCATTGATATGTGATGGTATTTACTGCATTCGATGTATCGCTTAGAAACTGAAGTCGTCATGGTGACACATCTGACTCAATAAAAAGATTGTGATGTCTAGATCCATGGCCATGATTGCCGACTGATAGATCAAGTGAAACGTCTAGCAGATACACTGTGTCTTTAGCGGCGATTAGATTTACTTAATACTTGCAAAAGTACGCATTGACATTTTAAACAACTATAAAGGACAGCAATGCATCACATTACAAAAAGAGTAGCTATAGCAATCACAAACATAAACAAAATACAATGATCACGTATACGGAGCGGTGAAATCCACTATCTCAGCAAGTACTTAAGCATCCATTCGAACAAAGCAATTTTTAGCTGCTCGAATCCACGATAAAAAATCAAAAAAAAATTGATTATATTTAAGCGTCTTCGCTTTGAGTCACAACAAACACTCAAACCACTTCAGCGGCATTTTTGACGTATATAGTGGAGAGTCGCCACTTTTAAATTGCATATCTAGGTGATTGAGAGTGTTCCCATAAAAGCGGTCAAGATATGAATTGCCAAACTTGGATTCTGGTAATCCGGCAGCACAACTTTGAAACTCCACTAAACCATCATTTTGCTTGGATTTGTGTGGTATCAAGTTGGCAAGCATCCAAAATCGCGATTGGTACCTTGACCACAAACCGGAATAACTTTTACCACAACTAAGTGCATACACCTGCTCCCGATACACTTTCTGCGCTGCTTTGTATGCGCTGCTAAGCTCCTTTGAGCAATATTTTCCGCCTTCGTACGCCAATGACAATAGAGCTCCTGGTGGAGGACATCCATACAAAACTTCTGCTAAATTTTTGATTAACGCACTCGTATTGCCAGCGCAGGTATCTTGGACATAATCCGAGGCCATGCTGCCTTTCATCGGCCCTGACATCCCCACCCAGGTGGAGCTAGAGTCGAGCTTACATCGTTTATTGGCAAGAGCACCCGCGAACATAAGATTGCCCATAGAATGCGTCACTACGATGGTGTCTGCAATTAGATTTTCGGTGCTGGTATTGCTTACCGCTAGAACACGTGCACAGACTCGTTGTTGCAATGAAGCGTCTGTCCAGGCGTTAATGTAGGTTTGCAATCTTGCATACTTGATGGATGAGCAGCACGGCGCATGTCCTGTCAAGTCTCCCCAATAATGCGGAAATGAGTCTAGGTTTTCAGGCATTTCTACACGACTTCCTTGACCATGAACGAAAATGCAAGGGCGGGGCGTCGACTTGCACGAACATTCCGGCAGTCTTTTCGAAATAAAACTCATGTGTGTTTCCGCCGAGAGTCTTCTCGTGTTGTCCGAAGAAAGCAATTCTGTAGTGAGTAGTGCGTGTCCAAGTACAGTAATGGGCGTAGATGAAGCCGAAGATAAGCACTTCTTCGCTGAAGAATTCATAGTTGGTAGCTGAATATTGATAGGGTTCTCCATATACTCGACTGAAACGTCCAGCTCACTTCCCTGAAATGTAAAACCAGTCGTTGAAACACACACTGAGTAATCAATTCCTTTCATCGTTGTCGTGAATGAAGGACCGGTGGTGCAAGTACTGATGTTTGCGGGCTTTACGTCATTCACAGCAGCTACGATCAAATTAACGTCGGGTAGTTTGCTCAGCTCGGAATCAAAGCACACTTTTGATAGTCTGGAGGTCTTTGATGCACTGAAAGATACAATAGATGTGGTTGCAAAGTACGCAACACCATTGACTAGTGTATAGTTGAGTACAATGTCATTGTTGACATCGGTGATAGCGGCGTAGACATCGTAAAGCACATTTTTATCCAAAACAATAGCTTTAGCGTACATGTCAAAATTGCTAAGCCCGTAAACTCTCATGGCGTCTTGCTTAACATTGATGTGAAAATGCAACGCTGGCCATCGAACACTTTCGGGTTGAGTCCACTGCTGGGCATCGGGGCCGCTAAGATCCACAGCACTCGCGATCGTAAGCAAAGTCATCACTATTATCAACACTTTTTTACTGCATCGCAGCATCATTATCTCGTAAGAGAAGAAAGAATGAGCGTTTTTGCTACCCCATCCGGATAGTTATCGCATTTCACACGTCAGCCAGATGGAATATATACCTACTTTATTTTGGACAGCTAATTGCACATCATTATTATGTCGATGGACTATGATTTTGATCATGGCCACATAACAGATCCAGAATGCTATCACACACCGGCCAAGATCTACGACACAGACTTCACCACACATCATGCAACTTGTCAAAGCAGGAAAGCAAGTAATATAACTTTACATGCGATCATCGAGGTAATATGTTGCGTGTAAAATATATATTAAACAAAATTGACCTTTTATTATTTATATATTTAGGTCTCACCATCCAGCCAATTTAAATAATCCTAGCGTCTCTGATAAATCGGTGAAAATGTCGAAGGACCTCATACAATGCACGCACTTCGATGGCGTATCCTTCCGCTTACGCGTCAGCGCCTGAGAAACAATGAGACTGTTGGGAATTTTTTTTTTTGCCAATTTAGTCAACCTGCAGCTCAATTTATCGATATTATGGGGACACTTTTTCTTCTAATCTAAATTATTGAGAAATTATTTTACTGATTTATAACGATCGAGGAACTGTATAAAATTCAAAGCTCTTTCTCGATATTCAAAAGCTCCCTTCAAATCCTTGAAATAATCAATAATCAATTGGATCACAGTCGACACGATTCTTTGAGACAGTTTGTACGAAATTCACATTAAGCTTAGTATGATTGTAAATATTTTTACTTACCAAATATTGTTCTTAACGAAAATGAGAAAAGCTGAGTTCCTAGATACAGTGGGCACGTCAGATGAGAAAGACAGACGAAGGGGGGGGCTTGGTCAAGATAATGGAAATAATGAAATATTTATATTTTACATTTAGTCCAAATAAAATCTTGAAATAGTGGAGCGAACTAAAAATGTGGGTGTCTCTTTAAGGCTCTCGATTCTGATTCTTGTAGACTCTGAGAGTCAAAGCTTCTTTTGTTAGAGCTTGGCAACCTCGTTGCAGAGACGAGCCTACGTGATCATGGCAACGCTAGCGTTTAAACAAAACGATCGCATTCTAAAATAGGATTTTCAGCGCACCAAGATCCCGAGGGAGGATTGAGTAGAAAGGCTCAATCCCAGAATGATATATGCTGGCAGCGCTGACAGACACTTAGTGAGCTATCTACCCTCATTTGTTAAATAAAGTTAGACATCACGTGTGATTACCCAGTGGAGCACGCACGTTCTTTTGATGCACTAATATTTTTGTCCAGAAAACATAAAGTTCTCAACGCTTGGTCAGTTGCTTATTCTCACAGACTTCGTTGCCTTTATTTGCGGCACAGAACAAAGCAGAGTTTGATTAAATCATCAGGTCTTGACTCACATAAGCTAAGTAAGAATAAAGTCATCGAATCTGGCCTCGAAGAAGCCTTGACTCAAAGAGTCCGCGCATACAACGACCAGAGTTTGATTTTTACCACTTAACTCAATAACAGAGCCTAGATACTTCGAGGTAATTAGACTTTAGTTTCCTCTGCTATCTTAAATAGATTTATATTTGTGATTTATTCATTTAAACAAAAATTTATACGATATTACAGCTACCTGAATTGCTTCAGGTGAAGTTCGTAGTTTGCATGTAATATGGATCCGCCTTCACGGAATCCCATCATCTTCATTCGAACCGAGACATCAATACCATTAAAATATTGAAATTACACAGAAGTACAAAGTGAATTTTGTACAAATTCAAGGGTTGGGTTCTACATGATCGTATGGATACAGTGGGGCTGTCGTAGCTCTTTTGCTTATAGGAAGCTTGGTTAAAGTCGGTGAACTTCGTTATATATTTAAACCAGTACGAGTGTAGCGGGTCGCAATCCACTAGCTCTAAGAGTTACAACAACCTTAACCCGTGGCGAATTAGCCCTTCCGCTAAATAACGTAAGGTGTATTTCTTGGTTTTATTTACGGCAAAGCCGCCATATCTAAATCTATAGGTTTTCCTATCTATATAGTTAAACCTAATTGGATGTATAACTCTGGGACGGCCACGTACTGACTTCTAGTGTAACCCACACCATTGTGTGATCACACCGTATTTGTGACCTACACCGTTCCCATCAGGGCAAGTGAAACCTAGATTTAAAGAGCGTTATATTGAAAAGATCATCCATTTAAGCGAAAGAAGTCGCAAATACTACATTCGTCCAAAATATTAATGCGTTTGCTTTAGTTTAAAGCAGCTTGAACAGAAATCTATCACTATTGTAAAATGCAGAAATTGTATACAACAAAGCCAGAATAAATACAATCGATGACGTGGATAATTATGCAACTCGCATTAGTTTTCCAAACGAGCAGGGGTGCACTGGTCTATCGAGGCTAATAAATTATCGCGTTCTGGGCTAGCGTTATCTTCGATGGGTCTCGCCGAGACGTACAACCTCTTTGATGAGGCGACAGCGACGCCGTATGCTAGCTGCAAGATACTGGGTGTCGACCCGGCGTAGAATGTGTTTACCGTACACGAAAGCGCACAGCTATACACAGTCGTCAGCGGTATGACGGGGAGGAAGACGGCGACGTCACATACGAGGCTACTCCTGCGGTGGATGCTCTTATTAAGCTGGACGAGATGTTCATCAAAGTGTTCGGCGGTGCCTTATAGGCAGGGACATAGCCGAAGTGGTCATTATACAACCGAAATACGCGGGTGATGGTATGTGTGTAGTGCTGCTACAGGTTCTCGGGAGCAAGGAGTCTGGAAACTCGGACAAGAAATAGTCGGCGCGATTGCGCGCACGATTACACCGATATTCGTTGAATAACGGGTTACAGTATTATAGCCCCAATTCGACGGATACGCCACGAATTGTGGTTCCTCACGATAGGGATTTTCAATACCGTATTATCTATGAGGCCCACGACACCCCAAGAGGATATCAACTCGTCGTGGCTTCTGGATGAAGATATTCTCAAGGACACCAAGAGGGTGCTGAAAGCACAAAGTGGATTTTCAATCCTGGAGAATGCCTCGAATCCGTACTATCATTTAGCGAAGAGATTTCCAGACGTTGTTTCTAAAGACCCACCGTCGGTTTAAATTTCTGACCGAGATGGGTGTCATGAGATCGACCTAATTCCGGGAACCAAATACTGCGAAACCCGCAAATGACCTCTGCCCAAGGAGCAGTGCAACGTCATTGACGCCTTTTTCGTGCGAAGCACGACGCAGGGATGGTACGTGAGAGCAAGTCTCCCCATTTGTCACCCACGTTTTGTGTTTGGAAGCCGAACGGCAAGTGGCGTATCGTTCATGCTACAATAAGCTCATCGCTGCCACCATTCCGGCACAGACGCCGATTCCTAGAAAGGATGTTCTACAGAACAACATGGTTGGCACTGTACGAAGTAGAGTGCACTCGATTTGGTAGATGGATTTAACTAATTGCTCATGAGAGCGAGTGACATTCCGCTGACAACGGTAAGCACTCCGAGCGGCATTGCCTGGAAGTGGCTGGTGATGCCCCAAGGGCTGTCAAATGCACCAGCAACATATAATCGTCTTGTGACGCAGTTGTTCAGACCCCGCAGGACGTATGCACAGACATAGTTTGACGACATTTTCGTTCATAGTCGTGCGGAGCACGGGAGGACTGATGGGGAGAACCACATCGCTTCTCTAAGAGCGGTGATCGAGTGCATGCGCACGAACAAACCGTATGCCAATGCAGACAAGTGCACCTTTGGCGCGGAAGAGATTCCCTTTTTAGGGTGCTTCACTGGGAAGCGTGGCCTTCGAGCGGATCCCGCTAAGGTCAAGGCCATTGGAGACTGGACGGTTCCAAAGATCCAGAAGTACTTGTATAAGTGGCTTGGTCTCGCCAACTACATGCACAAGTACAGCGTAAATTACGCAGAAATGGCCCGGCCATTATCCAACCTCCTTAAAAGGATCGGAATACTGTTGGAACACCGATCATCAGAAGGCTTTTGACGGGGTCAAAGACAGCCTCCTACATGCACCAAAACTGGTGCTGCCCAACCCTGACTGTCTTTTCAGCGTCGTCTGTGACGCTTCGGACTTTGCTATCGACTGTGCACTGCTGCAAGCAGACGCCGAGGCGCGAGATAGGGTGATCGCGTTCGAATCTCGACAGCTCAAAGCTGCAGAGAAGAACTATTCAGTTTATGATAAGGAGCTACTTGCGATGAAGTGTGCACTTGTCAAGCTCAGGGTCCAGCTGCTCGGCTCCAAGCCGTTTGTGATCTATACAGATCATGCGTCACTACGCACTGCGACTCTGCCGCCCCACCTCTCGCAGAGATGGCTGGTTGGCTATCCTTCTTTGCGGAATATAACTTCGAGGTGAAGTATAAATCGGGAAAGCTGAATGCATTGGCTGATGCGTTGTCACGCAGACCAGACTATGTTCTTGCTCATGTTAAAACTAATGTCGTCTGAGACGGATTTGATCCGCACCGTGTATGCCGGTGATGGGATGTATGTAGCTCTGCTACGGGCTCTTAACGGCTTGCTATATTATAGCACTGATTCAACGGATACACCGCGAATTATGGC